TGCCAGAGATGGAGGGAAAGACAATGATGTGGGGAGATGAAGCGGCTGGGGACTTTAGACCCAGAGAGGGAGAGGGGCTGTGTGCTAATGACCAGGGGAGGAGGGGCAGGCTTGCAGAGTACACCTTTTGGTTGGTTGATGATGTATGGAAGGGATTGTAACCATGGCAATGAAACAATACACGATAAGATGAATGTAAAACTAATGTTCTCCATGTAAACTATCACATAATTCACAATAAAACATTAGGAAAAAAAAAAGATTTACAGTCTCAGAAACCCTATGCAGGGTAGCTATGAGTCGGAACCAACTCGACGGCACATAACAAGAAGAATTGGGGGACTAAGGATAGGAGAATGAGGAGAATGTAAAGTTACTGCTTAATGGGCACTGAGTTCTCTGTGGGATGAGAGATGGTGGTGATGGCTGCAGAACACTTTTAACTAAGTGATGTCACTGAACAGGCACTTAAAACATGGCTAAGATGGCAAAATTTATGTTTTATGTGTGTCTTACCAAAATTCATGAGAAAAAATATATACAGGTATCAGTAAATAATGAAGTCAAACAAAAGCCTTTTAAAATAAGACACACATATTATAGTTAAGGCAAAAGATGCTAAGAAAGGTTAATTCACTGGTACAAGGTCACACAGTCAGGACTGCAGAGTCAGGATTTGAACCCAGGTCTGCCTGATTTTTCTATTACACAAAGCATATGCTTTTTCTAATACAAAGAGAATACAAGCTGATAACTTATTTTTAAAGCAGGCTTCATGGTATGTCCTAGATTAGTATATAGGTACTCAGATGAATGGAAAATATTTCATATGGAAAACATCTACATTAACCTCTAAATCTGCAACATGTTACACAGGGAATGTCATGAAATACTCAAAGAGGCAACTTAATAAGTTCACACTACTTATTAAGGGAAGTAAGCAAGGGACGACTTATGCAGTTTTGGAAAGATTTTCTCTGCAGGTTAACATAATGGATACCGTAATACAAAAAAAATTAGCCAGATTTCATCCTTTCTCCTTTGTGTTAAAGTCTTAATCTTCCAGATAAAGGGCTAATAACAAGTTTGTGTAACTATTTGTTTCTAATACAATAACTAAGAAAAATGATCATGGTAGATCAGAACAACTTCCCAGTTTTTGCATAATCTCTAACTTGTTTATATTTAAAACACAGTGGCTTGGTTTGACAAAGAGGGAATGGAAGTCTTCAAGGACACATTCATCATGATAGCAGCCTTGAGCCCTGTCCTCCCACCACTGCCACCACACAAGGCCACAACGCCATGGCACTACTGGTCATCTGAGAAAGCCACACAGAGAGGGAGAGTTAGTCTGAATTATAGACGTGGCAGGAATCCAAGCATTGGGCTTTAGTTATGGACTTGACATTGAGGTCTAAAGAATCCTGATTCATAACCATCTATACACA